CTTACAAGTTGCAAATACGAATTTTGAAATCTTACAGATCTAAATTCTTGCACATCTAAAATTTTATGAATCAAATTCTAGTGAAACTAAAATTCTGAGAATCAAATTTCAGTGAATTCTTGAGAAGTTAAAAGGTTCTTGCGAATCTAAACTTTTGAATTTTGAACTCAAATTGTAAATCTTTGAATTCCCCTTACAAATTCCATCAAACATGATCTATGACTCATTTGGTCATGATTGTTCATGAGTAATTTATTTTTCAAAGCTCTGTTGTCTCTATTTAGAGGAGTAATTTATTTTTCTAAAATTTTGTTGCCTCTATTTAAAAGAGTAATTTATTTTTCAAAATCGTGGTTACTTATGTTTAAAGGAGCAATTTTGGTTGCCGCTGTTTAGATGAGCAATTTTTTTTTTAAAAGTTGTGATGCCTCTGTTTAGAGAAGCAATTTATTTTTTCAAAGTTGTGGTGCCTCTGTTTAGAGGAGCTTAATTTATTTTTTTAAAGTCGTTGAGCCTCTATTCGTATGAGATTTGTTTACTTTTACAAAAAATAAAAATAAAAAAACAAAAATAAGAGAAGTGTCAAGTTGAGTTTTGCTTAGGTGTCTATGTCTTTGCACAATTCTTATTTTACAGAAAATATACAAAAATGGATAGCTGTAGTTCGGATCCAAGCCCATTGGGCCTGGTCCAATGGGATCCAAATAGGCTTAATTGTTTGTTATTTTATTTATTTTGATTCTTATTTTTATTTTTATTTTATTTTAAGATAATAGGATATTAGCAAAGGAAAAAAAGGGAAAAAATAAAATTTGGCCGTGTGAATGCATGCTAGTAGATTTTTAAAAGGATTAAATTTGTTTAAGGAAAATATGAAGTTTCTGATAATATCAAAATCTTGTCAAAGGTTGAGTTAATCAGGAATTCTTCTAAATTTTTCTATAAATTTGGCATAAAAAATATAGAAAGATGACAAAAAAAAAAAAGATCACAAAAATATAAAAGAATCAAAAAATTAAGAATACAAATAGGTTGATCAGATAGGTCACACACAGATACAGGGGTAAATGATCAGAAAAGAAAATTACATCGAATTCCTAGCAAATATGTTCCCAACAAGAATCACAATTCAGCACTCAAGCTTGACTTTTCAGCTAGTAACAATATACGATCAGAAACAAAGTTTTAGCATCAACACAAAGGGCCAACACAAAATTAGAAGGATCAGAAGGAAGGCACGATAAGAAGCTCTAAAATTTCCAGAGGTCTTGCATTGTAGGGTTGTCAAACCTAGCTTTCAAAAGATATCAAAGAAGTTCGGTATGACAATGGAGCACTGTGATGGCCATTGGTGATGGCAACACCAATTTTCACAAAGCTAATTTTGCCACCATCTTTCATAGCCGGATATACCCTTATACACTGCACCAGCAATCATAGAGCTACACGACCCATATCCAACAAATATCCAATAAGGTAGCAAGATATCAGCAAGCTTGGAAACACGAAGACAAATAAAAAGGCTAAAGTCAAAAACTAAAGGTGATGAAAAACATAAAAGAAAAAAAGAGAAAAAATGGGAAACTGAAACCTCCCTGGTGGTGGCAGTGACAAGCGACGGTCGGCGTGACCTCTGAAAGATCTGAACGGTGAAGATGTGAAACTTGACGAAAAAGTCACATACTGAAAGTTGGCGAAGATCCGACGGTGGGAGAGGCTGAAACAGATGAAAAAAATCGTAAGTTGGACTCCAGATTTACGCTTTTAGGGAGCGATTTACGAAAAAACAAGCCCATATTCGCTATGAGGAGAGTAAAAAGTAACGATGGGGAGAATTTTGGCTTGACCGATCGTCGGACGATGGTGGAGTATAGCGGTACCGGTGATTGATCATAACGACGTCGATGATGGAATCTAGAAACCTTTAAAGTTTTTGACTTAAGTTCTTCTGTCTCTAGAGAGAGAATAAGAGAAAGTTAAGGGCAGAAAGCGAGTGTAAAGGTGAAAACTGAAGTAGAAGGCTGAAACTCTGACTTATATAGCCACATAAAAGATGTCATTTTTTGTATTAGCTAAGAGCATGGTCTGTGTGTTTTTAAGTAGGTAGCGCGACCCGTACCGTGACCCGTACCAACAACCCGCGTCCCTGCCTGTGGCTGAGCCAAGTCGAGCTAATCCATTACCCGCGCCTTCGAGCCGATCCTATTTCTGGAGCCTCGCTCTATTTAAGCTAAGCGGAGCTGAGCCAAAGGTTTTTTTTTTTTCATTAGTTTTATTATTTATTTATTGATTATTATTATTATTTTCTTCTTCCATTATTTATTTATTGACTAAATTGAAATAAGTTATTTATTTAATTAAACATTGTTTAATTTTTTAATGATCTCTTTAAAATGAAAACTTGAAAAAAATATTTTTGAAGGAAAGTTGAATATATAAATTTCCTTTTAACATAAAAATAAAAAAATATTTTGAGAGAAAGTTGAAATTATCAATTTCCATTGAAAATAAAAATTTTAAAAAATATTTTTTAAAATTTTTATTTTCAAGAAAAATTGATAATTTTTTAAGAAAAAAATTGAAAGTATCAATTTTTCTTGAAAGAAAAAAAATTTCAATAAGGGATTTTTAAGGAAAAGTTAAAAATATCAATTTTTCTTGAAAATAAAATTTTTTAAAAAATATTTTTTGAGGAAAAGTTTGAAGTACCAATTTTTTAAAAAAAAAAATTATCAAGAAAAATATTTTTAAGGAAAAGTTGAAAGTATCAATTTTTCATAAGAATAAAAACCTCAAAATGCATTAAGAAAAAATTGAAAGTATTAATTTTCCTTGTGAAAGCATGAGTTTTTTTTCTTATAAAACAAAAAAAAAAGTTTATATCGAAAGTTGAATCATTATTCCTTTCTCATTTTGTCTTTTTCTTTCCTTGAAAAATTTTTAATGTTAAATAATCCGACGATGGAGCCTCTAGAAGAAAAACAGTTATTTTTTTGTATACTTTCAAAGTGAGGGAATTTTCTTAATTTTTTGTCAAAAGTATTGGAGTTAATTAAGGATAATTTCTAATAATTAATTACTTGATAAAATTTTTAAGGCTTAATGAATAACACGAAAATCGAGCTGGTATTATCTTTTGATGGATATTGTGAGTGTGTTATAAACTTTCTCACATATAATCGTACTCTTAAACCTAGTGCTGATTTCATAGTAATTAAATTTACCTTTTGAAGATACCTAAGCCAAACTTAGGATTTCTTTTTAAAAATGAATAAATTCGGTTAGATAATTAATCACATCTATATAAAAAAGATTGTTGATGATTTTTTTATTAAATCTAATAATAAATCTATGAATCTAGACATTATGATAATCCTATGTATATATAGCAAATGCTTTTAACAAAGTTTCACATTTATCAAAACATGGACTTCAAAAATATATGTAGTCACTGATTAAGAAACTCTTTTGCTTGAAATCAAATAGATTTGAGTCAAAATTTTTTTTTTTGTAATTTTCAAGTTTATTTATAAGATTTGAGTTATTTACAGTTTATAAAGATCATTTTTGAAGTTTAACAAATTAAAATATATTGAATTTGATAAATCCTTTATCAATTAAACACTTTAAATTATTGTTTATAAAAGAACAAAAACCTCCCCTATCGTAGCATAGCACGGGGTGAATTCTGATGTATATATAAAGTAATAGTATTATTGAAGTGTTTGAACTAATGAGATTAAAGAGTTAAATTTTAAATGTTTTTTTCTTCACAATGAAAGAATTAAAATCTTGTAGACAACGAATTCAATATCTAATTAGGCATGACAAAAACTTATTTACGTCTCTTAAAAAATGAATCGAGATAATAAATGTTAAGACAAATTAAGATGAATAAAATAAATTTGATGCGTATCCAATCGAAGCACGATGACACTTGTCAGCCTAAGATCAATGGGTCCACAACCTGAAAACCAGAATGGCCAACTGGATTTCTAAAGTTCATCATATCTCTGCAACACCTTGTCCTTTTGAATTTTGATTCAAAATGTTATCCTTAGAAAAAGTGGTCCCCTGGTCTACGCTTTTATTGTTTGTTCCACCAACAGCATCCAAACGGGGCCCCCAATAAAACTCAAATGCCCATTAGACTAGATTATTTTATTAAGTTCGAGCGAAAAATTAATGCTTAATTTTGCAAATTAAACTACACCTAAATTTGATTTTGGTTCGATGGAAATGCTAAACAGTGAGGTACTTTGGCCAAACTCTATTTATTATCATAATATGTTTTGATTAATAGCTTATTGTATGTTAAAATTTGTTCAATTTAATCCGATTTGAATAATCAAGATCCCATTATAAATAATACTATATATGATAAATTAGAAATACATTTATATTTCGAGCAGGATAATCATCCAATTTAATATAGATATGGTTTAGTTTACTTTGCCCAATAAAATTTTAGATATTTTCAAAGTTAAATTCTTCTCACTAATGTGTTTACATTTTGCAAAGAACGTTATGTTATTAATAAAAGAACCGGTGATTGATTCTTTGATTAAAGTTCATGAAATTAATTTGGTATAAAATAAAAAAAATGTTAATTCTTAGTTTGTAATTTAAATCATAGTTTAATAAGGAAATAGATAAATAAATAAATAATAGTCAATATTTAATTTATTAAAAAAATTATCACTTAAGAAAAATTTACTTTGATGAGGGAATAAATAAAAATTAATTAAAATTTTAGTTTAAGAAGAAAATCATTAATCAAGGATAAAATAGTTAATTTTATAAATTATCCACCATATACATGATTCATTATTTACAGTTTAAAAGTTCGTTTTTATATGCAAATTGAATGAAACTAGCAAAATATTACAAAAGCAATGATTAGATTTTATTTGATATTTAAAATTTACTGAATATTGATCATTAAAATTAAAAATCTAATGCTTTATTAATGAATCACTCAATTATTATTGATAATTTTATTTTACTTTTAGCAACATCAAAAGTTTAAATTCACGAAATTCTTACTCATTTTTTTTCTTTTGAAAGTTGCAAGAGATTTTATTAATGTAATTCAATTAAGAAAGTGCCCATAGAAATACCCCAAACAACAAATTGAAACCCAAACCCCATAGTCCATACCATAATGCCCAAAAATTAACCCATTTGCACTATACAAACCTTAGAGGGATCTCACACACCAACAAAACAATGATAATTCTTTCTAGATCGATTGTTCGGCCTCGTAAGAAGAGGGATAGCAAAATTTCTGAGTCATCCAAGTTAAGCCTAGTTTCATCCCCCTTCCCACTTTTCAATATTTCAACGTTACCCGAGCTGTCCATACGACAAAATCGCAGGTAAGTGAACTCATCCCTCGTATTCCGATATTTTCAGAGGGAATGGCACCATAAGAACAATGATACGAGGAACAAGAACAAGTATGTAGTTCTATTTTAGAAGGCTGCCATTATACTTGAAAATAAACAACAGGATTAGTATGTCTGGGTAGGGATATACTCTCTGGACAGCTAGCCAAATAAGAAGAACACCAAGTAATGTTGAAGTCGTTCACAAAGCCGTATACCAAAGACGACGAGAAAAAGGAGGGAGAGTATACAAAGAGTGATTGTTGTTTTACACGGAGAGAGAGTCTCCACCGAGAAGACAGGCATTGAGCCACTGTGGAGGGCCTCAAAATATGTGAGTAATACAGAAGATGAAATTTTGGTTCTCACCCTTCTCTCCGTGGATGGATCATCCGGACCATCTTCAAGTAGAGGCTTTGATGGAGATCATCAATGCAATGATACATGTGAGGATGATCTGTATATCATGTTCCTGCGCCAACAGGTCAGCGAAAGGAAGGAGGATTACAGGAGTATTTTCAGGCCTTTTTATGAAAGATGCAAAAGCAATGGAGTAAGTCTTCTAGCTGTCGCTATGATTGCAAGCACCAGTGACGGACTTTGACTTGGCTTTGGCTAAGTTTTTAGGCTTTTTTCCCTCATTCTAGTGTAAGCCAGTAAATTTCCTGGAACAAAAGATGGTTAAAAAGCAATTGCTCGTTTTCTTTGACATTTTCAGCTTTTCTGACAGAATTAACATGAAGAGAAACTTAATTGGAAACAGTCATCGTCAGTGCTCCATACATTCAGACTCTTTTTCTATCAGGAACTAAACTTCAAAGAAAACCATTGAGGCATTAAGACTAATTATGAACTTCTTCCCATTATTTTGATGACTACGTTGCTTTGTGAAATACTTTAATTTTACTTGTATACACCAACTTTATTTCTCTATTACAGGTGAAGTTTCTGGCACAGATTGCTGCAGGCTTCCAACCGAAGGATATCATAACCGAAGAGGCAAACAATGTTGGGGCCACTTGGATTATTGTAGATAGGTTATTATATTTCCTCATTCCTTTATTCTCCCTTTCTCCAGTTTCTCAGGTGCTGTGGGGTACTACAAATTGAATCATGTCTTTGTCTCTATATATTAGCTAGCTTGGAGATCATACACTAAAGTTTCAAATAATTAGCCTGGAAATCTACAATTGTCTGATGTTTACTAGAGAGCAAGGATTTATTTGTCCCCAAATGTTAATCCACACTAGATGTCAATTTTTGTTTATTCTGCAGTTCCTTTGCAAGACACTTGACTTTCCGGATGAGTGGCATTGAATGTAATATATCATTGGTGAGTGATGTGGAAGGGGCCATAGTTCACGATCACTTGATTGCAAATGATGAGTCAGATAGCTCAATGCTCATGGAAGTAACCCATAATCCCAAGTCTCCGAAGCTGATGAAAGGATCAACATCAGAAGAGGAGCCGTCCATTTGCCACTGGCCAAGCACAAGTAGAGAAAATGTTCAGGAAAAAATATGTGAGCCACTTAAAGAAAATGAAACTCCAGGACAAGTTGAGCCCACTGGAACAACTAACGTTCCATTCACTAACTCTAGTGCAAGTGTTTCTGAGGCTGATTTTATGGTAAAAAAGCCAAAGCAGCAAAGCTGGTAAGTAATTCTTCAAATAACAAAAAAATTTCAACAAGAGCTAGGAATGACCAGGGCAAGAACTATAGCACATATATTGGAAATTTTGACCATCATTCTGTATTTGTAAAGAGGTGGGCGGCAAATTCTAGAAGCATTCTTGAAGTAGAAACGAGAGCGGCCTTGTATATGCACCTTAAGAACAGAATGGCTCTTACAGGTTACCATCAGTGTGAAAACCAAACAATTTTAATCTTTCCTCTCCTACAAGGAGTAACGTTAGACAGACATATTTGGGGTAAGTCCTATAATCCTACTGTTGAAATATTCATTACGAACAATTAATTTTCAAAAGGTTTCATTTATTTTTTTTTTTCAGGTTCTGAAAGAAGGGAGTTGAAATTTCAGGCTAGAATGAAGATTGCCATAGCAATAAAGGTGCTCGATACATGCATGAAGAATGTCCACAAGGGCCCGTTGTACATGGTGAATTGCAGCCCTGCAACATTTTTTTAGGGCGTGATTTGCAACCCATGGTGAAATATCTCAAAACCAAATCTCTTTTAGGTGTATATCATCTTTCTATTCTAATCATGCATGCTGTTCTTTTTCTTAATTCTGTTAGATTTCTGGATTTGGAAAGGCTACATGGCTTCATTATGAACAAGTATCAAACTCCAAGAATAGGTATGCATCTACTTTCAATAAAGGAAGTCAGATTGCCCCAAAATTCCAAAAGATTCACTTTACATTCAGATTATATTAACTGTAGTCCGATCTGTAAATCTTACCCCAATCATTAAGGGCAACTTTCTTGTTTCTCTTCTTGGGCAATTAATTAAAAGCAACTTTTGTTGATATTAAAGGTGCTTCCTCGTGGATCCATTCAGCCACGAATCAATGGCATCGGTGAAAAGCGATGTTCTATCATTTGGAGTTCTGCTTTTGAGACTGTTTTGCCGAATATCAGCTCCTGAGGATGACAAAAGTTTAATTAAGTGGGTTAGTAGTTTATAATCATCAGCTTCTGCTTAGATATTCTTTTATTTCTTGTTCCCTTCCAGCCTCTCATCCAGACAATAACATATGGATTTTGGCAGGCCCGGCCATTGATGCTGAAAAGAAAATTCTACGAGCTATTGGAGGAAGATTCAGAGTTCTCGGACATGCATGGGATTTATAGAGTGATGGCTGCGGCAACTGCATGTACAAGGACTCAGCCAATTTCTCGACCCTATATGACTCAGCATTTATGCTGCCGATCTTGTTATTGCTGAAGAATCCTTCCTTGATTAAGGGCTATAGCCTATACAAGTGATAACTCGCTTTATTTAACCCCAATCAACAGGTAATCTGTCTTCTTAAAGGAGAGCAATTTTGTGATATGCCAACGTCTCCGTCAGACAGTAGCATGTAAAGAGGAACCAGAAATTCTTCCCAGGTCAGTTCCCAAAAATTAAAAAGGCTCAATTGGCTGGTATTTTTGCGTTAATACCAAGGATATCACTGCAATCAGAACACAATGTAACAATGGAAAGAGAAGACGAGATTTCCAGAAGTGTTGCAACTGGATTTGTTTAAAATGAAAACATGGAAACCGAGGGAACGCTACAAAATCTTTTGTTTTATCATTGAGACAAAGGAAGAAGGAGAAGAACTAGAGCAATTTTTATTTCCCCTTTTTTCTCCTTCAATATTTTGGCCTATATGAGACAGAGAAACAAAGTGCATCATCATCTTCCAGCTTTTGCAACCCTTAAGTTGTAGATATTTTCGACAATTTTATTGATCAAGGATTTTTCCATGTGAATGAGTGAATGAATATGTACATCATTATCATCTTTGTTAACTTACTACTTTGTTCATATAGCACAAAAAAGCAAAATTTCCGAGTAATTTCTTATCAAATTACAAAAGCAACTTCATTGACTTCAAAGAAAGACAGATTCACCAAGTTCTCATCAAATTCTTGTGCTCTGAATCAAGCAAATTAAAGGAAATGCCAGCATAGAACCAAGAAATGGGCCCAATTAACATTGACAACACAGACTTAAATCATTATTGGACATAAAAAATAAAAATACTACGGTCCTTCAGCTTATGTCTACCATGGGTTTTATACATGATAAATAAAAGTACTTACATTTTCAATAAAATGCTGGAAAAATAAGTTCAATGGAGATGGCTTTAAAATTTCTTTCCCATATAATGCTATAAGGAACATAAAATAAAAACACGAAGGGGAATATTGTATTGGAAGAAGATTCCCAAAAAACCATTGCTGGAATCTTGAAAATTCACAATTCTATCTATTCAATGATAACACGATTACGTGAGCAACATGTCCAATAGAATTTGGCTGCAGAACTCCCGCACTACATTCAAAATGGCTCTTTCGCTAATCTCATTCGTTGACTCAACTTAACATGCGGTAACCCTGAAAGAATTGTAGTCAATGATTTCTCACCTTTCATCCATATCAAATCCAAAAGACTTTTTTGGGTGTAGAAATTATTCGCCACTTACAGAAAAGTTAAAAAAGTCATAATTTTTTAATATAACTTTTAAAAAAATAATTGAAAAAAGTCATTTACAACTTAATAAATAAAAAGTCACTAGTTGAGATGAAAAGCATGAAATGAGCAATGAAATAATTAAAAGATAAATTCTTAATTTCTGTTATATTGTGAATTATTTCGAATGCTTACATTTATGACATTTAGAAAGAAAGAAACAACAGGTTACATAGACATTTATAAGAATTCACACGTAAATTATCTCCTGTCTAATCCTTAACATAAAAATTTTCGGTAAAAGCTGGTGCTTCCAATTAGGAAGGTTTATAAACCACTTTTTTTCCTTTTTTTTTCCATAAATATAATTTATGATTTAATCTTTAACAAATTTTATCAAAAAGTTTTCAGGCAACGTGAAAAACCTGAAGTGGAAAAAATAAGCTGAGAGAGAAGTGGAAAAATGAAATGGAATGCGAGACACGCAAAAAATTGTGAAAAAGTCTAGTCTATAACTATTGAGTCAGTCAGTGAGGCAAGCATCAGCAACTTTCCATTTGGGTCTTTAACCAATGAAGAGATTAACATGCAAGGCCGGTGCTCGAACTTCCAAAATGCCGCCACTTACAATTAACGTTGCAAAGAAATTTTGCTTCGTCAATCGGGTTGAATCTCGTTGGGCCAAACTTATGTATACTTTCCAATCCGATCAATTCGTATGAATTACGTCCAACGTTTTAATTTACCGACCACGAGTTTTGAATTGATAAACTTTTTTTAATAAATTATCCTACGATCGACTCGATCCACTTTTTGACCAAGAAATAGAAAGCATAAGGCTTGATATTGATGGTACTGTAAACAGAAAATTTTCAAACTTTTAGTACAATTTCAAATAAAATATATTTTTAAAGAAAATACTATTACGAAAGTGTTTTTCTTTTTTTTTTTTTTTACCGAATATATTATCTGTTCTTAAAAATTTTGATAAATAAATTAAATAAGTGATTGATTACTATCAGTTAATTATTATTATTTTTTAATTTTAATATATTGAATAATGATATTTACAATAATTAATTAGGATTATTGTCTACAGTTAGAAAATTCTTTAAATGTTGAAATTTGGCAATAATAATATAGTACTTATAACTTTTAGACCTTATAATGTACACTTGTTTACTTATGACAGATTTTGGATATGAGTTTTAAAACTTTAGATCAATTTAATTTGAAATTTTATTTTATTAATAAAATTTATATTTATTTAATTCTTAAATGTATTTAAGTACTAATATTTTATATTTAAAAATATTTTTATAGTTATTTTAAAAAATTAAATCTTTTGAGTTAAATGGAAAAAGTCTTAAATAAAATTTTTAAATAATCAGTCAAGTTAGACTTGATTTAATCCGATCATGAATAAATTCTTTTCTAAGGTAGTGTATAGGATATATTACTATTATTATTATATGATTAAATTTTCTTTGATTGAAAAGAATAACTCTATTTATTTAATATAATTACATTTTAAACGGGAAACACACACAAAAAAAAAAAAGAGAGAGAAAATATTGCATAGTAAGGGTATTAACGTCAATCAAGATGCATAAAAACGTGGCTTTGCGATTACGTGTCCGTGGTGTCGCCTCCAATAAAATCCATAACGAAAATTCCACCTAGAAATTTACCTAAAGCCAAAATTAAAATTTCCTTCATTCACCAAAACGAGAGACGGAAAGATCTTAAATGGAAGCGTATGTTTGTGTGGCTTCAATATCTCTCGTTTCTCTCTCTAGATTATCTCTTCACCTTCCTCGCTTCAAATCCATCACTTACTGGACCAATTTCCATCTCTCCCCTTCCCTCAAACCAAAATTAAACCCAAAATAAAAAAAATAAAAAAAGCGAAAAAAGGAAAGAAAAAAAATACGTAACGCTTTCTCGAATTCGAAACCTGAATGAGACAATCCTCCAATTTCTTTCTTTTCTCTCATCTCCGTTCCCGAAAAGATATCTCTCTTTCTCTTTCTCTTTCTCTATCTTTTTGATGCGTTGGATGATTTTCTGTTTAATGCTTAGTTGGATTCAATGAGATTACTCTGCTGTTGTATTAATGGCCTCTGCTCCTTCCTTATCCGGTGCGTTTCACCTTTTTTTTTTATAATTTATTTAATTTTCTGTTCTCTCCGATTAACTCTGTTTCTTGTTTGGTTACTAATAAGTAATATTGGAAAAAATGACGGAATTTCAGTTCTTCGGTGCTTGTTTCTTCACTAAATTTCGACTTAGTTCGAATTTTAAGTAGCCAAAAGAGTGTGAAGAAATTAATTCTTTTTTTAAACTCCGATTTAATTTATTATTGATTTTTTTGCCTTTGTTTGGTATTTGTTTCATTTGATTGATTGCAGTTTCCGTGGAATGCGTGAATATATGCAAGTTATCGAAAGGGGAAGGAAGTGGAAGGAATGACTGTAGTGTGCTTTCGTGTGCTTGGAAAGCTCCAAGAGTCTTAACTGGATTCCTTGCCAGCACTTCTAATCCTTCTCATTCTTCCTCCTTTGCCTACGCTCGCCACGGAAGAAGAAATCGGATCAAATCCGTAAGTTTAATTTTACTTTTCCCTATTAGGATTGGTTAGATTCTTAGAATCTCAAGGTTTGTTAAACATAACTTTCATTGGAGATGATGTTAGATTGAGTTTACTGTATTTATTTATTTATTTTTGTTGATTTGACTATGATAGATGTTATGGTATGAGACTAGGACCTTGATTCTTGTAATCTGTCTTCCAATCAGATTGGAAACTGGTATGTAGGAAATAGGAAGGGTTGTTAATGTCAGGTTGACAAATATGAAATGTTTTGGTGAGTTCAGAACGTAAGTTGGTGTGTTTTTTTAATGCGTGGAATCTTTCAAAAGTTCCTTGCTGGTGAATGAGTTAAAAAAAAATTGAGTGTGTTACATTAAGGTGTAGAATATATGGAAAATATATTTAGTATTAGGCAACTAAAACATGAAAAAGTTTTATGCCATTTAGATGGAATATTTATCTTTAATTCAAATTATGGTGTTATATGTGTGTGGCTGTTATACAAACTTGTATGCATAGTTGCTGATGTTTGTGCCAATCTTGTGTTTTGACCAGGCTCTTGATGTAGGAGGGTGGTGTTCAACGGATGTCTCCGAGTTTGTACTGCTCGGAAAGCTCTTCAGATCAAGCTTGCTTCATGTCGATTGTAAAAGATGGCGGTTGTATTGTTCTTCATCTGTCTCTTCAGATACCTCTAACAAAGTTTCTCCTGAAAAGTTGTGGGAGGTACAATTGACTGTTTTTAACCTCTTACCTAATAACAATATTTATTAATCTGTAAGTAAGGCCGTTACTATGATGTGTTCAAATTTATACTGATTTTTGTTATAATTGCATTAGGATCTGAAGCCTACTATATCATACCTTTCACCTAAAGAGTTGGAATTGGTCCATAATGCTCTCAGGGTATGGTCTTTGCTTTGCACTAAATTGTTACCATGCACTTTCTGAAAATATCTCTCAGACATTATGGTTAACCTATAAATTGTTTTTTGTTTGGTACAGCTAGCTTTTGAGGCACATGATGGTCAAAAGAGACGGAGTGGAGAGCCATTCATCATTCATCCAGTTGAAGTTGCACGTATTCTTGGAGAACTTGTGAGTTAATAGAAATATGCTCTCATTAGAAAATCTATTCTGCATTGTGATCTGAAGTCTAACTTGCCTTAACTATTGTTCTAGGAGTTGGATTGGGAGTGTATTGCAGCTGGATTGCTACATGACACTGTGGAAGATACAAATATTGTTACATTTGAGAGAATACAGGAGGAGTTTGGTCCTACTGTATGCCGCATTGTAGAAGGAGAGACTAAGGTGCTTTATTTATACTTCTACAAATATTATTAATGTACTCGCCTGTTCAAACTTGAATGTCATGTCAAGCAAAACTCTAGATAGTTTTGGCTTAATTTGGTTTCTTTTATTTTTTTTCTCAATCAGGTGTCCAAGTTGGGAAAATTGAAGTATAAGAATGAAAATGATTCAGTACAAGATGTGAAAGCTGATGACCTGCGGCAGATGTTTCTAGCCATGACAGAGGAGGTGATTTTTTTCTTTCTTTCTTTTTCCTTTTTGGATGATGTTTTTATGGAAAGTAATGTGCTAACTAAAGGGTTTCCTTTCTAGGTTCGTGTCATCATTGTCAAATTAGCTGACAGGTTGCATAATATGCGGACTCTTTCACACATGCCTCCGCA